AGCCTACATGCTAACTGGAGTGGTGGCTAATGGGTAATCCCATATTAAGTTAACTTGCCAAGACGTTTTCCGTGGCTACCTGGCCACTTATTACTCCTGCATTTAAGCCTACTCAATCAGTGACAGGTTACAGCTACTAGCTAACTTTACCTCGGCACACAGACTGTAGCCTACTATCAACACTGCTCAAATTTGGGCACCAATTTGGGACTTCCAGATTTTATTCGGTTACAGTAGGCTATCACCAAAAGAATCCTGAGCAAATGCAAATATGTGTAATTAAGCATAAAATTTCTTACTATTCACCACATTACGCTTCAGTAAGTTTCAGCTGTGGCCCTGTGGTCACTCGTCTGGCCTTGAACATGCCTGCACATGCAGGACAGGGAAACTGTGGGCCGTTTACACGTCATCAAATTGTATTTTACATTAACAGAACTTAAAATTAAATTATTTTTTGATGAACTGAAAATGTTAAACTCTGACAAGTCATGATAGTATATTCAATCAATAGGCATAATTTGTGTGTCAGCCAAACTCAATAAAATAACAATTACAAGTAAAAAGTCTAACAGTATCTCAGAACTTGATTTTTCATTTCACAACAATATACACTGCTCAAAAAAATAAAGGGAACACTTAAACAACACAATGTAACTCCAAGTCAGTCACACTCCTGTGAAATCAAACTGTCCACTTAGGAAGCAACACTGATTAAAAATCAATTTCACATGCTGTTGTGCAAATGGAATAGACAACAGGTGGAAATTATAGGGAATTAGCAAGACACCCCCAATAAAGGAGTGGTTCTGCAGGTGGTGACCACAGACCACTTCTCAGTTCCTATGTTTCCTGGCTGATGTTTTGGTCACTTTTGAATGCTGGCGGTGCTTTCACTCTAGTGGTAGCATGAGACGGAGTCTCACAAGTGGCTCAGGTAGTGCAGCTCATCCAGGATGGCACATCAATGCGAGCTGTGGCAAGAAGGTTTGCTGTGTCTGTCAGCGTAGTGTCCAGAGCATGGAGGCACTACCAGGAGACAGGCCAGTACATCAGGAGACGTGGAGGAGGCCGTAGGAGGGCAACAACCCAGCAGCAGGACCACTACCTCCGCCTTTGTGCAAGGAGGAGCACTGCCAGAGCCCTGCAAAATGACCTCCAGCAGGCCACAAATGTGCATGTGTCTGTTGAAACGGTCAGAAACAGACTCTATGAGGGTGGTATGAGGCCCGACGTCCACAGGTGGGGGTTGTGCTTACCGTGCAGGACATTTGGCATTTGCCAGAGAACACCAAGATTGGCAAATTCACCACTGGCGCCCTGTACTCATCACAGATGAAAGCAGGTTCACACTGAGCACATGTGACAGACGTGACAGAGTCTGGAGACGCCGTGGAAAACGTTCTGCTGCCTGCAACATCCTCCAGCATGACTGGTTTGGCAGTGGGTCAGTAATGGTGTGGGGTGGCATTTCTTTGGGGGGCCGCACAGCCCTCCATGTGCTCGCCAGAGGTAGCCTGACTGCCATTAGGTACCGAGATGAGATCCTTAGACCCCTTATGAGACCATATGCTGGTGCGGTTGGCCCTGGGTTCCTCCTAATGCAAGACAATGCTAGACCTCATGTGGCTGGAGTGTGTCAGCAGTTCCTGCAAGAGGAAGGTATTGATGCTATGGACTGGCTCGCCCGTTACCCAGACCTGAATCCAATTGAGCACATCTGGCACATCATGTCTCGCTCCATCCACCAACGCCACGTTGCACCACAGACTGTCCAGGAGTTGCTGGATGCTTTAGTCCAGGTCTGGGAGGAGATACTGAGCCTAATTTTGACTTGTTTGAAGGACATTACATCAAAGTTGGATTGGCCTGTTTTCCACTTTGATTTTGAGTGTGACTCCAAATCCAGACCTCCATGGGTTGATAAATTTGATTTCCATTGATAATTTTTGTGGGAATTTTTGTCAGCGCATTCAACTATGTAAAGGAGTATTTAATGAGATTATTTCATTCATTCAGATCTAGGATGTGTTATTTTAGTGTTCCCTTTATTTTTTTAGCAGTGTATATATTTAAGTAATGACTAAAGGTTCCCTGAATTAGTTTTTAAACCTGAATTGTTGTGTGGAAAATAAGCTCATAAGCTAAGAAGAAAAGAAAGAAGGGATGCAGACAGAAGAGAAGGGAAAGAAAATAATATAACATTTTGAGTATGATTCCTTATAAATGGTGCATTATAATAAGCATTTACAATCATGGCCGGCAGCCATACCAATGTAAACCCTACTACTTCGACCGATTGACAGAAGCTAAGCAGGTTTGGGCTTGGCCAGTACCTAGATGGGAGACCTCCTTGGAAAACTAAGTTGCTGCTGGAAGAGGTGTTGGTGGGCCAGTAGGTGGCAGTCCCTCTGGTCCTAATAATAAGTTCCCAGTGCAGTGATGAGGACGCTGTGCTGTGGGAGAGGCTGTCCTTCCGATGAGACGTTACACAGTGGTCATTAAAGATCCCATGGCACTAGTCGCAAAGAGTAGGGGGTTCCCTGGTCATGGCAAAATTCCCAACCTGGCTTTCACCATCTGGCCATCTAATCATCCCCCGTAGTAATTGGCTCGATGTTTTCCTCTCTCTCTGCCTCAAGCTGATGTGTGGTGAGCGTTCTGGCGCTAAATGGCTTCCGTGCATCACCCACGTGGGTGCTACACATTGGTGGTGGTTGAGGTGATTCCCCCCCTCTACTTCACTGTGAAGCGCTTTGACCGCTATCTAACAATCGGAGCCGGAGCACTCAGGTGGTGTTTCACATACATTGATTTGTTTGTGGCTCTCTCTCATGAAAACAACTGTCAATGTCGGAGACCCACCTTAAAAACAAATCACAGGTGGGTTGTCGAGGTAAGCACGCTGCATAGCAGGAAGTCAATATCGACTGTCATTCTGTGGGAAACACTGCACTCTTCTGGAAAAAAACTCTCTCTCTCACGGCACAGTGGAGTTTGTGTCAAGGATTCCGTGCTAGATGCGTACCGTGCTGGAGTCCAGCTTAACCGTGCCAGGCTCACCTCTTCAAGTGTGCCCGGGCACGGTTAAGTGTACTATGCCCGGGCACTCACATAACTTTGGGGGTTAAACGTGCTCGGGCACAGTACGGATCGCCTAGTGCAGTGGTTCACAAACCTTTTAGGCAACGCACACCCTTCTACATCTTGACCTGGTTGCTGCACCCCAAAACCCCCTCTCTCTCTAGGTTTGCTGATTTATTTATTTACTTATTTATTTGCTCAATGTCCCGCCCACAGCACTCTGATTGGTTACACATCGCAAATAATAGCTTATCAACACTTTGCTCTGGTGAGCAGCGGAGCTGTGTGTTGAAGAGAAGGCAGCCGATAATACTGAAGGTGCAATAAACATCAAAATATGATGATCTGTTTCTATGATGACAAGCAGTGCAGTGTTCCTGTTACACCAGTGAACATGTCCGAAGTCACAGCTACGGGACATTTTCATGACAAAAAAATACAAAACACCCCCCCTCCTCTGTTTTTTTACAAATCCCACCCTGTGTAGAGCCTAATAAACAGATAACATGGGGGAAAAAAGGATCCACATGAGGATTTGTAAGTACAGAGCGGGTTGCTCAGCCTGAGAGTGGGGGATGGGAGAGAGGCAGAGGGAGCGACAGGGAGAGACATAGAAAAGGCCTGATCAATCCAAACTCCATTCAGAAAACAAACATTTCAGAAGTTGTTGTCCTGCTGTCTTGCTGACAGACCTGGCAAAGCAAATTCATATGTTTAACAAATCTGCATCATGTTGTAGTTATTTCAGCATCAGTTTAATCCATTTATTGCTATTTAATCACAGCAAAATGTTTATTTTGGGTTCATACAGCTGTAATAATAGCGAGATGTGTTTATTCACGTTATTGTATTATTGTTATTGTTATTATTGTGAACACTTGCAGCGAATGTCCTCATGCGAGTAAATCGTCGCAAGGAGAAAATTCACGGTTGGTCTGAATGCCGCATTAGCCTCCTTGTCAGAGCGTTTGCCTCCTATATCTGAGGTCGCCAGTTCGAGTCAGGTCCGTGCAGTAACGTTACAACTCGGGGCTGGTTACATTAGCTTAAAGACTGGGGCTAGCAGCAGCTAGCCTGGCCGAACTACCAGAACCTCTGATGCTTGTTTAATCACAAATGTGATTGTAAATGACAAGATGTGAGCTTAAAGGTTTAAATGCAAGACTTTTTCTTAGCCCGGAGGAAGGACTTCCTTGAGTATGCTGGTTGCTTGGAAACCTGTTTCCAGTCTTTATGCTAAGCTAAGCTCCTGGCTGTAACTTCATATTTAGTGTTCAGACACAAGAGTGATATTGATGCATCTGTCTGTAAAACAAAAAGTGAATAATCATGTTTCCCTCAATGTCAAACAATACATTAAAGTGAAGAAGGGCACACTGCAATGTGTTCTGTATTCTGCAGTTCTGCATTTCAACAAAGGACTTAACCTACCTCTACCTCCCAAACTAATTCCAGTCATAGTTAATGGTGGAAGGCAGAGTAATTGGCTATATTACAGTCTCTTCCTCAGAGAATCCTTCCTTGATTAGGGAAATTATTGCACCCCAGTGCGTGATACAGATACACATATATACATACACCTAATGGAAGACTGAGCAATATTACAACCGCCCCCTGGAGAAGATTTCAGCATCTTAAAACACAGTACAAGCTTTATCTAACGTCTTCCTAGGTTTTTCCATCTATTTTTTCAACACTACGCATTTTTCGGCTTCACAAAGAAGAATTTCTTCCCCCACCTGAGATGTTGTTTCTCCCTCTAAACATGAACCTTGAGGTGAAGTCTGAAGATCTGTCTCTCTTTCATCCCTCATTGGCTGAGAGATGCCTACAAGTGGAGCCACCGCAAAGAATGATTGACTGTTTGTCTCTAACCCCACATCAATGCTGAGACTTTGGGCGAGAGTCACACTCATCTGTCACTTTCAGATCTACTCTTACTCTCTCTTACTGCTGTTCACGATTTCACAACCATGATGTGTGGAACTGCAAAAACGGCAAGACTGGGAGGTCAGTGAACTTGGGCAGTCACTATAGGAGGTTAAACACTGTGGATTTGTGTGTGGGTGTGTGTGTTAACAAAAGCTCTGTGTTTTGTTTTACGTTGTTTCGAGCGACATGAGCACTGACATTGGACACTGACACTGGAATTTGTTCCAGCTGGACATTTCAGCTGTAGCTGTGGAAATCAGCTGAGGCATTGTTGGAAATAGAACATCCAGCGTTGTACAGGTGGTCGTGCTGTTTTGGAATTACATCTGAAAGCAAACTGTGAGTGCATTTTAAGTGAAGCATATTGTTTTGTTCAAAGACGTGTTTGTCAAACTTGTGTTTAAATTTGATTTGTTTTCACAAGAACTGGGTCACACCTGGAAGTCATCAACCTCAAAACATATTCTGACATGTTGTATTTGACATTGAGCCTCTTCTTTCAACGGATAGTATCTGATTGTGTTAATGTTCCTCAGTCTACAGGCGTGATACGAGGTCTGTAATCTGACACCACAATGAAGATAAACAATATTAAGTGCTTTGATTTATTTAGACATTTCATGCAGATTAAAGGAGGGACTCATTATTGAAACAGCAACACACGACATGGTCTCAAGCAGTTTCACTAATATCATGATCATTAGCAGAAGGAGCACTTAAGTAAATGTAGTGACACAAAAATACAAAAATACTCAATAATAATCAAAATTCTGTGTTCTGTGTTGCTTGAGTAAAAGTACAAAATCATTGAGAGCAAAATGCACTTAAAACAATCAAAAGTATAAGTACTTACTATGAAGCAGGATGGCCCCTCTGTTATGTTAGTAAAGCATTAACATGTGCGCAGCATTGTGGCTGGTTGCACAGGAGATCATTTAAATTATTCTGTATACTGCTGAGTGGTTAAATCTATAACCATATTTAAAATATTATAAACTGGTAATTGGTTTTGTATGTTAAATCGTAACTCGTTAACTAACTCAAACTGAAAAAAGTGAAATATGAACTTGTTGGAGTACATGTAAAGTACATTACTACATTATGATGCATGATATATTCTCATACAGTAGGTGTATTTGAACTCTGAAAGTGTTTTGCTTCCATGCAGTTCACTGGCTTACACAAGAAGGTGCTGTATTCAAAAGGCCAAATCACTTATATATTTAATCAAATTTAAAATACTAATGCAGCGAATAAATTGATGTAAAACTTTAGGTAATTTATAATCCCTTGTTATCTTGCAATATATCTTATAATGCAGACTCACTATTATCTGGATGCCACTGTTACCATGTCACCTATCATACTTAATGTATCATTATAATATGTTACTTCTGCTAACCTCTTATTTACACCTGTATTACTGATCATTATGTTATTGGTCTCGGTGTTTGTTTTGCAGGGTCATGTGAGTACTGAGTCCCGGCGACATTAGTGTTTAACTCACAAAGGTCATCTGTGTTGAGAACTGTGTTCTGAGGTGTTTAGTGTATCTGCTCCCTGGTTCACCCCTCCTGCTGATCTAATCGTCACTGTAATGGCAGTGTTGACTTTGCTGCTGGCTTTGCTGGTCCTTCTTATTTTCACTTGTCGTTTTGTCTCTTGATCTCTTTCTCTTAGTTAATGTGTCTGCCCTCTATCCCTCCATCTTCTTCAAGGATTGATTCAACATTTAACATTAGTATGACCTCAAAAATGCACTCAAGTAAACCGTCACTGCTCTTCAAGTTGTAGAGCAGTAAGACCTCCGGTTTTCTTGTTAAGGCAACCCTCTCTGGCCACTGTGGACATAGTCTGTATGTGTTAGATGTAATAGCATTATTATTGTTGAATTTGGCTGAATTTTGTAGAGCTACTTGTTCAATAATTCACATATGAGCCTGGTGAATAACATAACTGCTGGTAGATGCAAAGTTTGCTTACATACAATTATTGTGCATGTAGATCAATAGAACAAGAGGTTCGATAAAGTCATGATTGTTTTGTGATATAATTCTCTTGCAGCCACCCCAGCATTAAATTTCACTCCTTACACAGGAATGTGCATGACGATTAAATGTCTGTTATTGAGTAACTCTAGGCTGTTGTCATGACAAACGTTCAAACAGTAATTGAATGCAATGTTTTTAACCACAGAACCCTCGCGTGAATCATGTTGTGTGGTGGAGCAGATATCGGTGTATACATGTGCATAAGTAACATGGTTAGAGTTGTAGCATAAAAACAAATCAATATTTTATGTCCCCCAAGGTTTAATAAAACCTGAGAGAAGAAATGTAATGCCTTGAAAAGCAGTTCTACAAGCACAAAGGGTCTAAAAGAATAAATGATACGTGTATAAATAAGATTGACGTAACTTGACTTTTCACAGTCAGCGGAGCCCTCTAACTGGCATTTACCCACTGACCCCAGCGGAGCCAGTCAGGACGGACCCACCAAAAATCACAAAATTGCTGTCACTCCCTTACCTGGTGTCCACGCATAGTGAGTCAAGGAGCAGTAGAGCAACAGGGTCACACCTGTGCTGGTGGAGGTAAGGTGAAAATGCGCAACCTTAACTTCATTTCATGCAGGTTTACCCTCTAATGAGCTCTGTGGGCTTCAGAGGGTAAAGTGAGACGCTTGCACTCACTGCCTCGACAACAGCGCAACACAATGTTATACCTTGGGTTATGCAAAACGGCTGGCTGGCACTCTATCATCCTTCTGCAGTATGCAACTTCATTTCAAACACCTTTGGGCCTATGCACTTTGTTCAGTGCATCTGTGCAGCAGATTTGTGTAGTTATAACACAAGTTGACACCCATTCTATTCACCTGTTTGCTTTGTGTGTCGTTCTCAAGGTCCATTGGGACAACTGATCTGTGGGTGCTCACATGTTATGAGCTCTTGTTGGCCCGCTCCCTGCTCTTCAGCATTACAGAAGGTACAGAAGTGGCTGTTTGTCCCTGACTGGTTTGTCAAGTCCAAATGAAATAATCTTGACCTTAATTTTGACCTGATGTTGTACCACCTGGATGACTCTGTGACAGGTTGTGTTCTATTGGTTCATTACCACTTTGTTGGGAATAAGGATTTAAATGGCATCAATAGTTATATTAAATAATATTATATTGGTAGCTTTAAAGCTTCTCCCTGCCATGTCTGGCTGTGTTTAAGGCCAAATTGAAGTATATGTATATGGTCTTTGTTACTGACAATAATTTAGCATTGGCTGAGAACTACTGTTACACAATAACTTCACATCAAATGATCACAACTATAACCTCTGTGCAAAACACATCAGTACATGTACATTGATCAAAAGCTAAACAGTCCTCTTCTTAGTCCTGTTCTAAGTAACATAGCATAGCAAATTGAATTGAATTGTTAAGCGTGAAGCTCTATAACGCACAGATATGTTACCAGTCTGTATAGGAAGAGAAGTACTTTTCTGTGTTAATTGTTAGCTGGCATGTCCATTGTGGACTGGCCAGGTGGGGAAGAATTGTGGTGGAGGACCTGGTCTGTCTGTTCTCCTCAGAGTTAAGCCGTCCTTACTTTTGTTATGTTAGACTTTATGTCATAGCCGCTGGCTAACTGAGCTGGTTTGCAGGGAACTTGCGTCGCTGCCTTAGAGCATGTCTGCTCCAAGCAGACCGCACTGGGACACAGCTTCGGAGGCCGGCGGCTTTAGTGGTAAAGTCCAAAGAAAAAGATAGACAGACAAAGTTCTGCTGCGTTTTTGTTGATGAGCTGACATCATGGGTCACTGGTCTGACTGACCAATCGTAGCTGCAAGCTGGGTGCATGGGCTGAATTTACCCTGTCAATTTACCCTGTGATCTTAACTAAGCGATTTGTGATTGCATCATACAGCGATTAAGCTGCTTTTTACTACACCATGGTCTTCAGTGACTGAGGCCTGTGTCACAGGCTTAGGTTATAGGATTGATCTTTCCAACTGAGCTTTACACAAAGCACTTCACCTATGCTCACAGACCTAAGGCTACAATATCTAACCCCTCTTGTTTTTAGTAGCAGCCCTTAGCACTCAGCAGTAGTTAACTCAATTAAGTAGCTTCATTATAATCAGTGAGAGCTGAAACGTCAGCCTCATGAAGCTGATGGAGGGCTCGGCTGCAGCTATAACCTGCTGTTTACATGCAAAAATAACTCACTGGCCCTAATGGTTGGGCATGGAGTTGGAAAAAGGCACAGTTAGACATTGATTGAGGGGCTACAATTTACATGCTGCAGAGCTGTGGAACAAGGTCTCTCTGAGTCTTACAGCCTCTTCACATGGGGCCCCAGTATTTGTCTGCTAGGCTGCAACACAGACACAGGCATTAGTAAATGGGGAGCATCAAATTTGTTGGACGGGGAAGATAGACCCATAGGTACCCATAGAAACAGATAGAAGAACAGACAGCAGTCATGCACAAATATGCACTCAAACACACACCGAGTGAAGTAAATGCAATAACAGAGAACCACAGGGGAGCATATAAAACAATACGGTTGTTACACTTTCATTATCAGCAAAATCAACAATGCTTAGCCGTTACAAATGGAGGAAAATTACTATAGTAATATGAATTCGCTGATTGCAGTCTCATTCTAAAACATATTAAATTTCTGATTGAATTACTCTGCTTTGTTTTCACATAAAATAGCCTAACCTAATTAACAGTGTTGAAGCCGAGTTCTGTGGGTTTGTCTTTGAAGCCTTGCCCTCTGCATACAGTTAGAAAGTTCCTTCTCACCGCTCTGTGCCTTGGTAGCACACTCACTCTGATCACAATTCAGCTGTTGGCCAAAAACAAAGAAAACAGAAAACTCATTACTGCTCTTCTGGCCTTCCAGTTGGATTTTTCTTCAAGGGAGAGTCTGCTAAACATTCTAGAAATAAATACAGTAGGTGTGTATCTGTGTTTTTGTGTGTGCATGTATGAATCAGTGATGCTTAGTCCTGTCTCATAGGGCAATAAGACCTCATAAATCTGACTTTTTTGTTTGCCTTGCCTTAATTGTACTAGCGTACATTTGTCTCTGTTTTGGTCCTGGATCCATTGAATTCTACAAACATTTTCACATCTGGAGACTGAGGCTGCATGCAAAAATCATAGCTTTAGATCCTAAAATCCATATTTGGGCAAGGCTAACACAGTCCTAGCATCCTGATTAATCTGTCTCTGTCACATCTCTCAGATGTATTTCTCTTCATCAGATCTGGGCCCAAGTACTGCCCTCCTTGTCTATTGCTGCCTTGCCAGAAGTGGGCGCTGGACAAACATGGGCTGAGTTCTCATAGCCTCACATCTCATAGCGATGGTGAAGTCCAGAAAATCCCTTTAGAGGCAGCAGATCTCTTCTCTTTTCCAACTGTCAGTGGCTCAACACCACCAAACCATCAGCCAATAAATCTATGAGGCCAGAGTCGAAGCTGAGAGGTAGGCTGATAGGAGGAGTAATTGATGCTCTGCACAAAACTGTAGTGGGGTTCTTTGTGTGTGTGTGTGTGTGTGTGTGTGTGTGTGTGTGTGTGTGTGTGTTTGTGTGCGAGGGAGAGAAAAGTATAGGAAGTGAGAAAGTGAAGAGAGAAAGAGGGAGGGACAGACAGAGTAGAAGAGAGAGAGGGCCCGTCCTTGTGGAGTCACAGTGACCCCACTACAATAGAAAACCAAGAGAAGTGATTGCATGCAAGGGTGGTTTCCCCAACCTCATTAGCAAAATGATTTCCCAAGGGGTAGAGGTTAAAAGATCAGAATTCAGGCCAGGGTGTCTGTTAGGGTTTAGGTAACACATGCAATTATGATGGCTACTGTAAGGGTTAAGGCTTTGAAAGTGAATGTATATGAATATGATCCATTTGTGTGCCTGTAAGAGTGTGTGAGTCTCTCTTCCTATTGACCTCAGTATGTGATTTGCTCTCAGAACAGATGCTCCTGGGAAACTTTGGCTGCGTGTATAGGTCATTACTTGCTGTGTCTTTTATTAAGTGCGTCCCTCAGTCTGTTTCCGTCCTCTGAATGTCCTATACAGCATCTATTGCTAAGTGACAGCATTGGACTGTAAGTTGAGTGCATAAGTGCCACTGAAAACTTACTGCTGTTAGTTCTATACTAAGACTCATTATACTTGGTAATAAGAGAGTTGCAGCAATCTTATGTAGTTCTAATCCCATGGAAATATGTACATTTAAAATTTTAAATTCCATAACAAATGACCAACCCCACTTTCGTGAGAACTGAGGTCCCCTGCTAAATCAATGTCAGTGAAAGTCATTATAATTTCATCTGCATTTGTTTTTTCTTTTACTTTTTCCATATTACCATATTCATCTTTTTCTACAGCAAAGAAACATTGGAACAATAACAATTTCACTAAGTCAGAAAGTTAAAAAATGTTTGGTCTTGACTTAAGCTAAAGTCTTTTTTCCAGTAAATTTCATTGTCATTTGCGAATGTGTTCCTCAAAAAAAACAGAGCCTTGCTATGCCCAAGACAAATTTTAGAGTGTATCAACAACAAAACTGATGGTATGACAATGGGAAGAAAGAGGCAGAGACAGCGAGATAAAGAACAAAAAAGAACAAATTCAACTACATTTGGTTTATTACAGCTAGTTTTTCTACCTCAATCTAGTAATGCTAAAGTTATTTCTATTTAGTTAACAACAGTGGCCGCAAAGCTATACAATCTTTACTCATTACCACTGGAGACAAAAAAGACTATAAAGAACCACACTGACTGGTCACACACAACCACAAAGAGCCAGTTTTCAATATTGTGATATTTTTTTCAATAAACACAATTAGTAGGTAGAAATCTTTGTACTTTGTCCCAAGGGAGGCTAAGCACCAGGAGTTGGGTTTCCCTGTTGGAGTGGAGTGGACCCTCGAGAATCCTTCACCCTGAAAAACCAGTGGAGAAACACCTCAATAATCACATTTGACTGTAGCTCTAATCCCCAAACATCTGACACAATTGCACCTAACACAGGTAATTAAACTCCAAAAAAGTATGCACACATGCACTTCTTGTGTGTTGCATGCACCCATGAGTTCAGTGAAAGAAATGTCTGTGTATGTTTGTTTAATTCTGTATGTAAAAGCAGACTTTTGCTGGATATAGTTAATTATTAATTACTTTTATCATGAGATAAATGTGGAACTGGTATGTTTTTTGTAAAGATATATGACAGATTTTTGTATCTACATTTTGCGGGGAAACTTTTTACTTGCCACAACAAACTGTCACCACGCGAACAAACAGCTAATTCACTTTGTAAGACAGGTGGAGGGTTGAGGAAGATGAGCACTGAGGGCTATCAGAGCTCAACTGATGTCAGCTGGAGTTTAAGGTGGATTACTGGTACGCTTCATGCTCCTTGACAACCAGACGAGTCACAGAGAGGTGAGAACTGAAATGGGAAGACAGACTGACGGACGGGAGAGGAAAGGGAGGAAATGGAGAAAGGAGGAATGTCAAATCTGGTGCATTGGAAGTGATCTTGGCAGGAAACCTAAGTTACCATAGCGACCTGGTGAAAGCTCTGCAGCAACTAAGAGACAAGAGATAGAGAGAGAGACAGACAGAGAGAAAGAGCGCAGACCTTGAGGTATTGTGTCTCTCACTGTCTTGGTCTTCTGTAGCAATATTTTGAATATCACTGTTTACTTAGTGACTGCTTATAAATACAGGACTTTGGCAGGATACAATCGACTCTATCAATACTAAATACTTACTAAGGGCATAATTCATGTAGTATTTATCTTAATGATCAGGGTAACTCAGTTTTCTTCTGTTTCTTTCATCTCTTTTATTATTGAAGCCCAGTCAGGTTAATCAAAGCCCTGTTAGGCTCATCAGTGTACAGCTCCACAGTCTGACAAACCCTGGTTGAAAGGATATGAAGCAGAACTACACATCCATTTATCCATCAGTACGGTCTTTGTAATGTGGATGGTAATTGCTAGTCTTTGATGCCCTAGACCGCTGGGACCGCTGACTTTAATAAGCTTATTCACAAGCATGAAGATTCAGATAGGGATTCAACCACAGACAGGGGTATAAATGAGCACACACACACACACACACACATACCGATGCATGAATCCGCATTGCAAATACATGACAGCTACTGTATAAGAGCACATAGCACTATACAGTCACATCAGCCCACAAGGACACACACACACAAAGGAAAGGTATCAGAGTATATAGGTTTATCTGTCTATGTAACAGGGCTTGCTGGGATTATTCACAGCTTGATATCCATCTCCACAAAGGTGCAACCAAAGATGGACACTTGGCAGGACAAGATTACCAAAGCTACTACCTAACTCTTCCTCATAGTATTCCTCTGTATCTTTTTATCTTTGTCTCAGTTGGCTGGTGGCAGACCAGGGAATATGTTACATTAGTCACTTTGCCTTTTTGTTTATTGGGATATCTCAAAACTTTTAACACCAATTATTTCCCTTACTTCTACTTGTATAAAAAGGGTCCATGGTATGCTGCTTAACCACTAGGCCACCAGGACACACTTTCAGAAAGGTTTTTTTTATCTTTTATGCATGTACTCATTGCATTCATATTTAATGTTAAAGTAAAAATATATTTGTGGTATCAACAAAATGTTCTTAAAGGTTAAGTGTGTAAGTTTCAGTGGCATCTAGTGGTGAGGGTTGCCAATTGCAAAAAAACTATTCACTGAATGCTCTGATCTGATCAAGGTTCCTCTCCTCCCGGTCTTGTTATCATAACGCTGTTAGCAGTAAAGTGTTTTCCACCAGGACAGTAAAAAAGTTTGAGTGTCACAGTTTGACCACTGGACATTTTGAGTGTTCACACACAACACGATATGCGAAAAAACACAGCCCACGATTACTACAGATATATGAACCCAAAGTAAACCCTTTGCTGTGATTTAATTGCAATAAACGGATCAAACTGATGCCAAAATAACTACAATATAATGCCGATTTGTTAGACATATGACTGCATGCTTTGTCTTTTAAAATGTTTGTTTTCTGAATGGAGTTCAGATCGATCAGGGCTATGCTATGCTAACCTGTTCAAAGTTAAGTACAACGATAGCTGGAATAAAGTTACAGACCATGCCATCTGACACTAACAACAACAGTGGAACCGGATGTGCACGGAACTAGCTGTGTGAATATAAATCAAGTTGTAATCCCAAAAACTAAAGTGAAAAGCTAATTTAATAAAAGCAGTTAACTCTGAGCTCCTCCCGCGGGAAAACGACGTAGTTGTCAGAGCATAATCCAGACCGACTGCGGGTGTTTATTTGTCCGAAAGCTGCAGCACTGCTTCCTATAAACTTCCACGTTATTTAGCAGATCTCTGTCGGCCAGCAGGTTGTCATTACACCGCTCGCCTGGTCCTCTCCAATCAACGCTCCAAAGCCGCCGGTGACGTTTGGATAATCTCACTGCTGATATGCTTTCGCAAAATCACATGAAGCAAATTTCTCGCCCAAGTTGAAAAATTTTAACTCGTGCGAACCAGCGAATTTCGCAACAAACTTTGCGTTGACTTTGTATGTACTCAAGCCGCCCAAAATGCTGGATTCTATTTCAGTGTGAACACACCTTAAGACCCTCCCCTTCCAGTGGAGCACTATGGGACCTTGCTTTGGAAAAAATATGTACGGTAGTCAATGGCAGAAAACAACAAATTTTTTGATCCCATTTCAATTGTGCTCTGAATTACACATATGATGATGGTCAATTTAAAATATACATTTCAAGTCAAGAAAGTCGCAGTTTGATGTAAAACTGTTGAGGTATAACACTGTGAAAATACATAACTACAAAGACCACAAAGCCTAAAGTCACGTATGTGACGTCGTAACTTTTTCTCTCAAATGAAGCTAACGTTACTGAAGCTAGCGTCAAAAAACTTACATGAGAGGATGATGTGATAAAAGGGCCGAGAGTCGCTGGATTAAACACATCAGGTGAGATATATTTCTGTGTGGAGCATAGCTAAGTTACCTAGCTAGTAGCAACCAAGCAATGAACGCTAGCTAGCATTACCACGCTAACGTGTTGGTGACGTATATTGTGCGAGATGATAGATGTACTTCACTGAACGGTTTTCACACAAAACGACATGTAGTTTTACTAATTTATGACAAACTGCAACTTTCTTGACGGACAAAATAATCTTTTAAATTGACACACATATGTGTAATTCAGGGCACAGTTCAAACAGAATCAAAAAATAAGTTGTCTCTCGCCATTGACTACCATACAGAGAGTGACTTAGGCTCTCTATAGCCAATTAATCAGCTGATTGTCTCACTAACCAACATATTTGTGTCCATGTGTAAACCAAAGCGCTGGAGAATAAATAACGTTACATGACATTACAATCCAACTACATAGTTTTTCTTCGTGTGTATGACTCGGGAGGAACGGGTTGTCTCAGTGAGTAATTCGTTCATTTTCACGCATGCGTCAATAGTCTTGGACTCTTAGTTCACTCGTCACACGGCAGCTGCATGGGCTTCGTCAGCACAGGAAACAGAATTGATTAGTTCACGACTCTCAACTGTGGGTCTGTTTGAGTCGTTCATTTGTCACGTGACAGCTCGGCTAGCGTTAGCCCTGTGGTGTGTTACAGCTAACAGCTGATCGCAACGTAAATTTTACTTTTTATTTATCAACAGAGCTGTGCTGTTGTTTCACAGCTCCTGATTGGTAAACAACCTGGCCGTGTTTGAGAGTGATGTGCTCATGTTTGTTTCTCTCTGTTTGCAGAATCAGGACCTGATGTGGACCATTCTGCGTCCAGACATGCCAAACTGCTGCATTTATATAATGTGTTAATATTTCTTTGTTCCTCTCTCTGTGCTGGAGTTCTTTTAAGAACTTGATGACTTGATCCAGATTATTTTTAAATTGGTTGAATTTTAATAAGAGTGTGTTTATTCATATAGTGTATCAAGCTTATTACTTCTATATAAACAAATCTGATATTAATATTTTACTCATGGATAGGGACGTTAGGCTACTGTATGAATGAGCACTTTAGAGATAATGATAGTAATTGTATACATAAGCCTTTATGTGGCTGGTCTGGTTGTATACTCAGGAAAGATTGGGAAAATGGATTTGAATTTGGTTGTGGGCCCAAGGGGGTGTATATAATGATGATAGAGAGTGATCAAGAGGTGAATTTGTGCATTATACTTAGTCAATTAAAGCAAGCCAGGCAGCCTTCCGTGTTTGAGAACGTCGCCGTTTTTTAATCGCCCACCAGAGATTTAAAGATTTGAGTCAAAAGAGTCGAACTTGCCATCACTACTGATCTGAGCTGCAGTAAAATGTGAGGTTCAGCTGTCTGATCTGAGCTTCTATACTGTAAATTACCTTACCGTTTTATTGCCAATTAATCAGCTGATTGTCTCACCAACGTAACAGACACATTTATGTCAACAGCAAAGCCAAAACACACATTGAAGAATAATGTTAATGAAATTGCATTCCAACTACATGTTTCACAACACTGACAGGGGAAACACATCACTTTTCTTGGTGATTCTGGCCAGCTTCTAGCTACAGCTATCAAAAAACGGTTTGCAGTCACATCGCTAACTTAGCAACTTAGCAAACTTAATTACCTGTCTAGCAGAAAACAGGCAACTTCAGCGCTGCTTTGAAAACATTTGTCCTGCGCCAGCTCCTTCCATCTGGGAAAATCCACAACGATTATATCCTTTATTTCTGCTGTCATCTGTCAGTATCTGTCCCAACTCTCTGACTTCATTGTATTTTCACTTCTTTGACAACGAAGATCCACACGCTGTCGGCTCCTGATAAATAATACGTGTTCCTTCATTTGTCCAAATTTCGCTTCTCTTCTTACTTAAGAAAACAGATGGCTACTCAGAGACATAACAGTTTATTATATAAGGTCTTTATACACCACTGAAAACATAGTTTATATTGCATTTCTGTCAATAAATCCTC